AACAAAACCACTTGCAATGGGCTTAAGAATATAGGTTCATATGCAGAAGAATTTTCCATTTCAGCTATGGGATAAATTGCCAAGGGAGGCTGAGGAATTGCTCATACTGGAGCTGATTAAAGTTACTGAAAATTTTATCAGGGATGTGTCTGAGATAAGGAACTCAATCATGTCACAGGACTGGGGAATGGATTCATTGATCCAGCAGAGAAGACCTTTCTAAGCTACTTAAACTAGCTATTTAATCTATCAGTGATGTTTCTAGGGCTTTTAAATATTTTTTTCCACTTAATGTTTCAAATGGCATGAAACTCTGAAGGTGCTTATAGAAAAGTGCTTTGGCATCCTGCAGAGGGCATTGCAGGCTCAGTTTGCTTTAGTCCTGTGACTGATCTCTGCATTATGCTTTCATTCCCCCCCGCCCCACGGCTTATGTGTTTCAGTATCATTCAAGAAATCTGCTAGATTTTGGGGTTAACATGTTTTAATCACTGAAACTGCCTCAGGATAACCTTTCAAGAAGAATAAAAGCAGTTGACCCCCTAAGAACAAGTTCACTAGAGAAATGTTCTGCATGCGTTTTGTATAGCTGCTGATGAAAGAGGGGGAACAAAATGGATTTTTTTCCTCATTAAATGCCTACTGCATGCAAATATTAATGTACATTAATAGCTTTATATCTGACATTGGAAAAGATTCAGAAAAGGGCAACAAAAATGATTAAGGGTTTGGAATGGGTCCCATATGAAGAGAGATTAAAAAGACTTGGACTTTTCAGCTTAGAAAAGAGGAGCCTGAGGGGGGAAATGATAGACGTCTATAAAATCATGACTGGTGTGGAAGTGAATAAGGAAAAGTTATTTACTTATTCACACAATATGACCCAGGGGAGGTGTGAAGGGCGGGTTTGAGCAGAACTTTGTGTTTGGGTCCCTCTGGGAGTAGCGGGTGCTCTGCTTGTTGTGTGGGTGTGGAAGTGAATAAGGAAAAGTTATTTACTTATTCACACAATATAAGAACTGGAGGGTGTGAAGGGCGGGTTTGAGCAGAACTTTGTGTTTGGGTCCCTCTGGGAGTAGCGGGTGCTCTGCTTGTTGTGGGTTTGGACAGCTGGTGCTTGCGGGCTGGAGATGGAGATATTGTAGTGGGAAAAATAGGGGAGCAGGCCCTATTCCATCTCTGGGTCTGGGTGCTCTTGGTGAAGTTGCTTGTGCTTTTTATGAATCACCTTTTATTAGAAAGATGGGGAGTGTTGAGAGGCCAATGAATCACTGTACAGTATGTCTGTTGATCTTCAGATAAAAAGTGCTAAAGAAACATAGCTTATTTTGTATTATGTGGGGAACAACAGAGGGTCACTCAGCACCTTCCAATTGGAAAAATATAAAAATGTGTCGTGTAGAAACATGATTGAATCATCTGCCCTCTTGCTGTCCCCTCCCCAAAATGGGGTAGTGCCATATTTAAAGTCAGTCACAGTCAAATACAGATCTGTCCAAATCTTTGAGGAAGATGAACCTTGGTGTCCAATACTCTACACTGAATTGAAGAAGGCAATTAATGCATTTGTGAAGTGATCTTGTGAGTTGTTGCTGAGGAGCTGAGGCGGTCTTGTGATAAGGAATGGGTGTCCTGCAGGTATTTTTGAAGTCTTTACTGCTGCAGTACCTTTCATCAGTGGTATTAGTCTGGAAAATATCATCATTGTAATTAATCTTTGAGTGTCACAGTTCTAATTCCATCGCCTTAATCTTTGGATTTTCACTCAATTGATCTAAGAAATTTCCTTTTTCCTCCAGTCTTCTTCCCAGATTGTTGGTTTAGGAAGATGTGAAGGGAGGAAAAAGTCCTTCAAAAAATCAAAGTATAAACAAGGGGTAAGAGGTCTTTTATTTAAGACTAAACCTTTAATTTAGTGAATTTAGGATCTCTACTAACCTCAGTGGTTTATGTGAATCTTGGTTATTGTATCTACTCACTGCTACTGTTTTCTGAAAGTGGCCTAAGACTGACATTATGTGTCTTGAACAGTTGACAGACGGGTAGAGTCTGAAGAGTCAGGAGATGAAGAAGGAAAGAAGCAAGCAGGTTGCATAGTAACAGACCTCAGTCAGCAGAGCTTGAAAGATGAGCAGAACGGGGAGAACTTAACAGGTACCTAATCAAGCTAAATCTTCATTTTAAGGATGGACTTCTTAATGCCAAGTGTAATAAAATATACTGTTTCCAATTTTGCATTTATTCTGAACATTTATTTGGTTTTAGTTAACTAATTATATCTGCCCCATGAATCTATCTTTAATTCTGGTCTTTTTCTTGTACCGTTTAAAAATGTATTTGTTTACAAACATATTTGACTTTAAGAGAAATCTTCAAAGAGTTTACAGCTAGCAGTGTAAAATCCCAGTTAATCAGTTAACTGGTTAGGCTAACTGTGAGGCTAACTTAAAGTTTAACGTTTAACCAGCTAACTGACTAAGCAGGATCCAAGCTTGGGACCGCTACAGCCCAAATGGAGCAGCCTCCAGCCCCTGTAGAGCAGTCTCTGTCTGCACGTGGGGAGCTGCTCCAGCCCTTACCAGTTACCTCCCAACTTGGTTAATCGTTATCTCCCATTTCAGGTAATGCTTACTGGTTACCCAATTAACCTTTCACATCCTCTATATACAGAAGGGGTCTCAAACTTGGCCTGTGGACCATCTATGGCCCAAGCAGCTTCACAGTCTGGCTTGGGAGTCCCTGTAACCTGGTGTAGGGGGTTGTCCATACACATCCTCCAAACTCCATCCCTTCCAGCCTGCCCTCTGTTCCCCCCCCCCCCCCCCCTCCTTAGGGATTTGGGGGGGAGAGGGGTCTGGCACAAGGTGGCAGTAGGGGTCAGGCTCACCATGGCAAGGAGTGCATCCCCTGCTGCCACCCTGCGCCAGCTAATCCCCTGATAATCCACAAGGCTGTGTACCTTGGGGGAAGGGATTTGAGGGAAAGGGGTGCAATGAGGGGTGGAGATACTGGGGATGGGGCAGGGTTTAGGGAGCGGGTACAGACTCATACTGCCCCTTCGGGCCACAGGGGTTCCCGAGCCGGATTATGAAACTGCTTAGGCCATAAATGGCCCACAAGTCATGAGTTTGAGATCCTGGGTCTCCCAATAAGCTCCCAATTTATACTGTTTCCTTCAGTATTTTTATCTTTCCATCCAAAGCTACCAGTTTTAAAAATACAAATACCTATCTTCTGCCTTGGTTGACATATCTGTAGTTAGAAGAAACTGGCTGGCTGGATTTGAGTTACACCACTGAAAGGTAAACTTAAATGTGGATAGCTTAAGCAGCTGAGAATTCACATGCAGTCAGTTCTCTAAGGCAGCGTTTCTCAACCTTTTTTAATATAAAGTACCCCTTTTTCAAAACCAAAATAAGTACCCCTAGTACCTACAGTTTTCAGACACACAATGGTTTTTCTGCCATTGGAACACATTTGTTTAAACAACTTAATCATAGCCAGGTGAGCGATGAAATTTTTGAATGTAAAAAGTACAAAAATAATAAAAATGCTGTAAGACTTAAAACAAAAAATCAGTTTTCTCCAAATTTCAGTGATGTTGACTCTACCCTCCCAGACTTCTCTCAAGTACCCCAAAGGGTACTTGTACCATTGTTTGAGAAACACTGCGCTAAGAAATAGCGGATGCAGTTTTAAATGACTTACTTGTAAGCAATCTGATAGCTTTTCATGTATTTGCAATTAAAGAAAAGTGCAGTTATACCTGTAATTACATTTGCCTGTAACACTGGACTTACATAAACTAGTAGTTTTGTAATGTGAAAGTAGGTTCTCTGAAAGACCGACACACAGACTCTGTAGATTTTTGTACTTTGCAATCAGCTAAGTTACACAAAAACTCTGTTGGCAGCTCTATGAACCTAGAGAATTTAAAAAAAAAAAAAGTGCTAAACCACCAATATTAGCTAATCTTAATGCACACAGGTTAAAGTGCAATTCTACTCTTAGCAATGATTGTAAAAATACCAGTGTAGGGTGATGCATTTGATGTCTGTCACAGATGCTATATCACTTTTGCTCAGTTGGCAAGTAAAAACATGTTGCTTTTTTATCGACTGCATTGGTTCGGAAAATCAAGCATGGTTTTTCTGGCTCCAGTCTCACCACATCTGTGAAAAGTTTCCACAATTGGGCCATAGTATTTCTGTTGATGCAGAGGCCAGTATTGGACATACAGTGCTAATGATTGTAAAGACCAGTAAAACCCTACTTTTGTTAGAAAAAATAAGCAAATTCGACAGCTTGCCTAGGCAGCGTTCACTCTAATTTTTTATGTCTGTGTGCAGAATGCATTTTGTTATGCACCAATATGGAGATGTGACACATCACCTCAGTAGTGGTGCACATAAGATTCATTCTTCACATGAATGATCTGTGGCAGGGGTAAGGGCGAGAGGTTCAGAGTGTGGGAAGGGGCCCGGTGTTGGGCAGGTGAGGCCTCTGCCTGGGGTGGGGCTGAGGATGAGGTGTTTGGGGTACAGGCGGGCCCTCTAGGCTGGGGCCAAGGGATATGGAATGTGGAAGCAGACTTGGGGCAGGAAGTTGAGGTGGAGGTGCGGGGTCTTGGTGGGAGTTAAGGTGCAGGATGGGGGTCAGGTTGAGGTGTGGGGTCTAGAAGGGAGCTAGGTTGCTGGAGTGAGCTTAGGGCTGGGGCTCTGGGTTAGGGTGTGGGGACTGGGTGGGAGTTAGGGAGTAGGAGTGCTGGAGAGAACTCAGAGTTGGGCCTGGGGATTGGTGTGCAGGGTGCCTACTTGGGGCAGCTTCTGTTTGCTGGTAGGGAACAGCCTGCACTGCCCCCTGCTCACCTGCTAATAGGAGCTGTGGGAGCAGAGCCTTCAGGTGCGGGCAGCCAGGGGCGGACTTTCCTGGTGCTCCTGGCAATTTGCTCCAGCAGGAAGGGCTGTCCCAAAACACAGGGGATTTACAGGCTGCAGTCCCTAATGCCCCTTTCTTAATCTGACTCTGCAGCTGGGGCCAGGAGAGGGGGTGTCTCCACCGAGTGTGGCAGCTCTGTGCCTGGCAGTCCTGAGCCCCTGCGCACGGCTTATTGGGCAGCGGCACCGCTGCACAGCGTAGCAGGAGCCCTGCCCCTGCACAGTAGCTCTGCTGGTGCTGTTTGTATAACTCACTTTGCAGAGTAGAGAGACATTATAAGATTCCTAAAGCAGTGTTGTCACCTGTGCTTTACATGGATAGCTATGTCTAGTTAGACTATTGAATGTGTAATCCATCTTGGAATCCTCGGGCTGGAAGAGACCTCAGGAGGTCAGCAAGTCCAGCCCCCTGCCCAAGGCAGGACCAATCCCAACTCAATCAACCCAGCCAGGGCTTTGTCAAGCTGGAACTTAAACACCTCTAGGGATGGAGACTCCACTACTTCCCTAGGTAACCCATTCCAGTGCTTCACCACCCTCCTAGTGAAATAGTTTTTCCTAATTTCCAACCTAGAGCTCCCCCTCTGTAACTTGAGACCACTGCTCCTTGTTCTGCCATCCCTCACTACTGTGAACAGCCTTTCTCCTCCATCTTAATACCTAGGCTGAAGAATGTTGGGAAGTCAGCTGTGGTACATAAACCCTAACTGTTGCATTTCCTGCCGTGGTGTATTTGGTTAAAAATAGAGTGTCTGGAGGCTGTTAGACTAGATATATATTCCTACTTGAGAATGACAGCTATGAAATACACTGTGTCGACCCTGTTAGAAGATTGCCATGAAATAGATAAATCCATGATCTATTGATTTCTAATTTCACTTACTTGTGACAGCTAAAAGTCCCCCAACTTTCCTATTTCATGGGAATTCTCTAGTGGCCCTATTGTTCTTCGAGGCCACTCTGTCTCTTAACCTATGGGAAAGTAGGTCATGTGCAGTGTTTGCTGTGACTACAATGGGGATAAGCATTTGAGAGCGAGGAGATTAGGAGGAGGAGGGAAGGAGAAGGCTTCGTGCTGTCCCCTAAAGTTTAAAACAAAAAAAAACCCCAACTCCTCTTGAAATATTTTAGCTAGCTTAATTATGTATTGATAACTCTTGCTCTGGCTCTAACACCGGAGTGCTTTAAATAGCATGACTTGAAGTAACTAAGGCAACCCAGCTTTGCAAGCAGATAGATACAGAACATATAGGAATATGTTTAACAATTAAACCTTGTATTTAACGTGGTGTGTGAATCCCAAACCACTGTAACAGTTGGGAACTCTAAAGATTGTCTCTAATGTGCCATAAACACAATAAATGCTACTCTGGTGACAAGTTGTATTGGCACTTGTTTGGGATAACATGAATTAAATACAAGTAGCAAAATCAAGCAGGCAGCCATGTTTTTGCCAGTGAAATCTTTATCCATGCACACAATGCCAACATAACATTCAAGTATGTTGAGTGTTCTGGGAAGGGCAGTTCTGTACTGGTGTGAGCTTTTGTCATTAAGAGGTTCCATTAGCTTATTGATTTAAGCACAGCACAAAGTCAGATGTGGTTTCTGTACCTCTCTTTGCCACAGAATTTGGGTGTGGCCTTGGTTAACCATCTTATTGTACCAAAGTCAAACCGTGTTAATAAAACCCCACGAAAGTCCCTGTCCAAATATCTGTTCAGTTCACTTATGTCAAGCATTCTAAGTCCCAGCTAGTATTGCCACATACATTAACATGTTAAGTAACCCTGTCTTAATACAGGGGGAATGTTAGTTGCATGTGAGATCTCAAATGCTTGTTGCCCTGCAGTTCTGTGCTTGGCAGGCTGTAAATTCAATTGTGCTGTTTGTTGCAGCATAATTTGTTAGGGCTGAGGCTGTTGATAGTTTGGCAGCCATTTTTACTCTAGTCGTCCACAGAACGTGTACGTCTTTGGCAGTAGCAGAGCAGGCGGCTGCATACTGTTCTAGCACTGTGATTCAGCCCAAGCCGGAAGGGATCGCTTGGAAGGATCACAAGATAATTCAGCCATCGGCTTCTGCTGAGGCTGCCAACCAGCACACCCATTGGTGTTCGTTCTTTGTGATGCCACTCAGAGCAACTCCCTTACCACACACTTGGTTAGCAAGCTGTGGGCATTGCTCCTTTATTCTGCATTCAGATTAGAAGGACAGACGGCAAAGACTCCATACCATAGACCGATTTCCCTGAGTCCTCCCGGTCGGAATGGACAGAATAGGGGCAGTAGTAACAGTATATCGCAGAATTGGGGAATATTAGCTGGTCTGTCTGCGAGACTCTGAGTTTAGCTCTCTACCCTGCTGCACTGGACAGTATATCGGGTGTGTCTGTGAAATACGCTTGTCTAGCGCTGTTGGATATTACTCATTTGAATGGATGGTTGGTTGAACTAAGTACAAATGGGATCAGGTTAGGGATGTAAGTGATTAGTCGACTACCCAATAAGCATACACTTATTGCTTAGTCAAGTAGTGACTTGACTAGTCGCTCTCCCCTTCACCCCCTCACTCCCCTCCTCATCAGAGAGAGGCGATGGGGGAGCAGGAGCTGGTGCTGTGGGGAGCTGGCTTAAAAGCTGGTTTACCCCAGCACTGTCTCCAGGGGGGAGAAGGGGAGGCAAAGGCGCAGTGGGGACTGGCGCCAGTCCCCGAGCTGCCTATGGCTCTTGTACATTTCAAAGGAAGAGGCACTGGGGGAAGCGGGACCAAAGAGCAGTCCCCTCTGGTGAGGGTTCCCAGCTGTGCCTCTCTCTTTGCCTACGGCTCTCCTGTAGTTCAGCTCTTGTACGTTTCAAAGGCAGAGGTGCAGTGGGATTGGGAGTGCCCCTCTTACCAGCTATGGAGTAGTCAGTGGAAATTCCATCCTCTACTCGGCTAGCTGATGAATCTAAATGCAGCATCCCTAGACAAGATGCTATTGAAGGGACTAATGGAGTGAGATTGCATAAAGCAATGCAAAGATTCATCTGACGTCTGTGTGCTCAGCGGTAGTTAACAATTCCTGTGGGCTTCCTTCAGCTGAAGGGAACCATAGACTTGAAATGTAACCTGTTCATATGGTGTAGATCTGTCTTTTGAAATAGTATACTGAAACTGATGCACCCAGCCGCACTTGTCACCAGATAGGAGACATATGACTTGTTCAATGTGAATCTAGTCACTAAACACCTCTCCCTCTAACGCAGTGCAAGAAATGCGTGAAAATACTGGGCTGCGTTCCAGAGATGTAAAAGCATTCCTCAGAACATGACCTGCGTAAAAAAATGCTGCATTCTAAAATATTGGTGTGCTCACTTCAAAAAGAAAAAGCATTAAAAAAATCAGTAATGTATTCCTGCTTTCAGTTTTTATGGAAGAAAAGAATAAGGCTGGAATGCTTCAGGTAATTGAACTAGGGATATAATTGTGTGGTCGGTTAACTGATAAACACAAGCGTATAGGTTAATGCTATAGACAACACGTTTCATTCCCACCGCCCACCAGTACGTTTTATGGCAGGCAGCCCAGCTCAGTCCTGGCTCACGCCGGGTCCAGGAGCTCAGACCCGCTCTACGCTGCGGCTGCTGCCATCCTGCACTGCTGCCTCTTTATCAGAGGCAGCAGCACAGAGTGACAGGCAGCCAGTCCGCAGGGGGAGCTGGTTTTTAAACTAGCGCCTGGCACCCTGCGCTGCCTCTGATTATGGGGCAGCAGCGCGGAATGGCAGAGGGCTCCTTGGGAGTGAGGCCAGAGCACACTGGCTGCCGGCCCCGCCCCCGGGGACTCTAGAATAGTCGACTAACCGCTAAGAATTCACGAGGTTACTCGACTAGTCAATTAACCGATATTTAACATCCCTAAATTGAACATGCAGGCTCATGTGTTTCCACCGGACAGCATGTATGTACTAGTTTTCCCCCTGGGCGCATGGTATTGGGTTATCCGAGGAAAGCAGTTATTTCAGCAACTGTGATTGTTCACAAGGGAAGGTAGAGAATGTGCAGGAGAAAATCAGTGGCCCTAAATGTCAGGGTAGCTGAAAAATTCAGTCCTGCTAAAACCTGGCATCCCAGGATTAGTTACTGCTCCAGCAGAGACTCCCATTGTGCCTGGCTGTTGTGCCAGCAGCATTTACGTGCCGCACAAAAGCTGGGCGGGATGAATTCCGATTCATGTCTGCGCTGTGCATAGGAGTGCGACATGGGTAGGGAGAGCTGCATTCTTGCCTTGATGGATCGTGTTGACACTCACATTGCTGCATTGAACGGGCGCTGCAGCGTCTCCCTTTCTGACATTGCATAGAGAGCATTCGCTCCCCTCCTCCCGGCCCAGCAGAGAAGCACTGCAGCTTTCCCTCCGGTGGTGTGTCACATGAGTATGTGCTGTGTGTTCTTGCTCTGTTGCAGGAGAAGCAGAGACGCCAGTGGATATGGAGACAATTAACCTGGACCCAGAAGCTGAGGTAATGCTGGTTGCATTCATATTGGACTTGTGTGTCGGGGAGCCCCCGACCCTGCACCCCCAGCCACAGCCAGAGGTGACTCTCAGCTGGCAGGTAGAATAGAAGGTTTATTGGTTCACAGAGACTCAGCGTAGCTTAGCATCAGTGTTAGCACAGGAGCCAGAGTAGGCAGCATTATTCCTCTCCCCCTTCCTTGGTCTACATCAGGGGTGTCCAAACTTTTTTCAAAGAAGGCCAGATTTGAAGAAGTGAACATGCGTGAGGGCTGACCATTTTGCCTGACATTCTTTGAACCATTAAAATTAAATGCAAATTAACTATTTTATGCAAAGTTTATTGCAAACGGCATACTTTTCATTTCGTCACATGGATGACAAATCTAAACAGGTGTTAAATCACTCTGCCTTTCATATCTGAAGGCCAGATGAAAAAAAAAATCCAGGAAGCTGAAATATATGTCAGGAACATTGTAAAGTACATTACATATTATTGGTAATAAAGGTTGTCTGTCAACTTTTAAGTTCAAAAAATATGAACAGGAACATAACACCAAGTATACATGTTGTGTCCAAATATATTTATAACTGATTTAGACCAACTGACTTTAACTGAGATTTTACAATGTATTCATCTCAATACATATGGATTCATTGGGGGCCATAAAAGATAGATATTGCCAAATTACCCGTGAACCCGCAGCCAAGCGGGAGAGCGGGGCTGTGGACGTGCCCTATAGGGCAGGGTCTAGGACGGTGGCGGCAGCGCGGCCCGAAGCGGCGCGCTGCGCTGCGCATGCCAGTTGAAAGAAGCACCGGGGAGCCGGGAGAAGCGGAGGCCGTATTAAATCCGACCGCGGGCCGCAATTGGCCCGCAGGCCGGACTTTGGACATGCCTGGTCTACATCCTCCCTCATCCTAGCCCAGCCGAGCTTGTCTCCCTCTGGGAAGAGAACTTGGCGGCAGCGCGGCCCGAAGCGGCGCGCTGCGCTGCGCATGCCAGTTGAAAGAAGCACCGGGGAGCCGGGAGAAGCGGAGGCCGTATTAAATCCGACCGCGGGCCGCAATTGGCCCGCAGGCCGGACTTTGGACATGCCTGGTCTACATCCTCCCTCATCCTAGCCCAGCCGAGCTTGTCTCCCTCTGGGAAGAGAACTGGCCTTTAGGTGTCTACGACCAATACACATTTGGAGTGAGTCACTGGGAATCACACACAACACAATACAGACAGGCAGAGACACCAGGTTACAAAGTAGACAGCACCCTCACTACGTCACAACTTGCATAAAGGGGAGGGTAGGCAAAGGATGTTCTGAGAGAGTATCTGAGCTCTGGACAAGTTGAACAGTTCTTTCCAGAGGATTGGGAAGTTCCCGATTCAGTTCTGAAAAAGTGCTTTTTTTAAAAATCAATAGCTGGACTCTTTTTGTAACAACTTGGGATATTGGGACAAGCGTGGAATCACTTTGAAGTAGATCCAGTACAAATATTAAACACCAGTTTACAGGCGTTTCTTAGGCTGTCTTTGAAGAGTTTGTTGCTGTTATATAACTTTGTTCTGTCAGCACACACAGGAAGTTGCCCACCCTGCGTGTCAGATGCCTGTACTTGAGAGACTGTTTTCAGAGAAGCTTGCTGAGCTTTGGCAGGTGTTGTATTTCCATTTGTATTTGTTTTTCTGGCAAAACCTGAACAACAGGGGCTAGGCAGCACAGCTAGTAAATGTATTAGCTGTCCCTGTAGCCACAATCACTACATAATTTGACACAGTTGGTACTCTCTGCCCAGCAGAGGCCCAGGACTGGATTGGAAAAGGATGCTTGAGTTAGGACTGAGGTAACACTTGAAAGACATGTATGAGAAGTCTGTGCTGTACCTGGCTCTACCTAGTAGAAGTAGCACTTTATCTGCATGAGATCATTCAAAAAATTTCCCTTCCATTAAATGACCCAAACATGCGCAGATTGCTATGACCGCTAAAATTTTCTCTAGTTGACACCTTTTCAGCTCTAGGCAGGCAGGCCATCTTCGGCAACAAACCCAAGCTCTCCCATATATTTAATGGCACAGTTGCCTGCAAGACTAAAGTTTTGCAAGCTTTGTAAGAAGAGCGGGTCTTATTGAGGTCTTCATATGCTGTGAACCTACAGTCTCACTTTCAGGGCAAGGCACAAGCAGCATTTGCATTCTGGACTTGGAAGACATTCAATCCTAAACGGCCAGTGGATGAGCCCATCTTCTCTTTCTTCTCTTTCAGGATGTTGACTTGAATCACTTCCGAATAGGGAAGATCGAGGGATTTGAAGTGCTCAAGAAAGTGAAGGTGAGACTTGAGCATCAAGGTACAAGCAACCTGTATGATGGGTCTTTCTCTGGCTGGGAACTTGCAGAGATTCTAATGAGCAGCCGTCTTTTAAGACATGCTTCACAGCCACATGTAACTGCCCTCCACCAAACAGTAGGGCCTTGTAAGTCCGCTTTCCGGGGGGGGAGGGGATCAGTGACGTGGAATCTAGGTTTATTTTAAGTGCAACTTGCTTTATTGACACTGACCTGCCAGTCCTGGAACAGAGGTGCAGGCAGCTCCCTTCTTTCAGGAATCTCTGCTCAGCACTAACTCTACTCAGGACTTGGCTCTGAGGCAGAGAGCAGTCTCCCCTACTGCTTCCTGCCCTCTTCCCAAAGCTGCCTCTTCACAGAGCCTTGAGCCACCAAAACCTCCCACCGCTGCAAGCATTTCTTCTAAAACTAACGCTTGCTTGCAGGCTATCAAACTTGGAAGACGGCTTAACAGTGTCACCTGGTGACTTTGAGAGCTTTCTGAAAATCCTTGGAGAGCATTTGTCACTATAATACTTGCACTGGCAGCGGTTCCCAACCTTTTCCAGGTGGGGACCCATTTTGACAATCCAGGAAGACTTGGTGACCCAGGGCAGTTCAAAAACCGGGGGAGGAGGGAGGGCAGAGCCACCTGGGGAGACACTCGGCGACCCTTTTGAAGTGTAATGGCGGCCCATAGGCTGGGAAATCCTGCGCTAGCAGGACTGTTATGACCAGAACTAGAGGTGGAAACATGGACTGCTCGTGTCGCTTTTTTCAGCATTGCAAGGGTTCTTCCTGCGTGGTGGCCCATCCTTTCAGGCAGTGTGTCTTGTCCTTGCTGTGCCCGTCTGTGGCATGGCACAGTCTTTCAACGTGCTAATGGAAATCTGCCCTCGCCCCCCTCCAGCTTGTAGAACATGACTCCCTTTGGGTTGAGGCCTGTAACCCTTGAAGTCCGTGATGAAATGTGTATTGACTTCAGGGGGAGCAGAACTGGGCCTTGAGTTAATGGGCTAGCCACAGTGTCTGTTCCATGTGCTTGGCAAAGCTGTGCTTCCCTTGGCCTTAAACTGGATCGGCATTTCCTCCTCCTCAGGATAATGGGCTGAACTATAAAATAGTGTCTGAAGGTAACTCCAAGGAAGGGGTCATTATCATTTTCAGATGCATTTTGTCTTGTGAAGTTTTTCTCACCCTGTGGCTTTTTTTAACTTCTCCCGAATGCTCAGACTCTGTGTCTGCGTCAGAATTTGGTTAAGTGCATCGAGAACCTGGAACAGCTGCAGACTCTCAGAGAGCTGGATCTCTATGACAATCAGATTCGGAAGATTGAGAACTTGGAGGCCCTGACAGATCTTGAGTGAGTATCCAGTGAGGAGGGAATGACCAGGACTGGGGGGTGATGTAGTAAACGTGGCTCCAGTCTGCAGGCTTTCTATAAAGTGGCTGTCAGGCCAAATGTATCTTTAGACATTTCAAACCCCTTAACTACACAAGCTGCACTCTCTGCTGTAAACTCTTCTCGAGGAGATCCGTGTGTGAGCCGCATGCAGGAGTGTCTGACCTTCTCATGGGCATTTAGGCCTTACGCTAACCTGGTGCAATTACTCCGGGTGCATTTGGGAGCAGGAGAAGGCTGACTGTTAAATTCAAAAATGAAATGCACTAGAGAGGTGTGGCCGGAGCGGTGCTGGGTGGCATTGGACTTCTCCTCGAGAGAGGAGTGGTTCTGTGGTGCCATTGGTAATAGGATTTGCATTACAGAGGTTGCCTCTGCCCCACGTGAGATCAGAACCCCGTTGTGCTGGGCACTGTACAAATGCATGAGACCCTTCCTGCCCTGAAGAGCTTCCAGTCTAGCTAAGCAAGGAAGACAAAAGGCGACACAGCTTGTTTTATAAGCTGGGCTTATCGCTTAACGTTAAGCTCCTGTCCCATGTATCGGATGCAGCAGCGTGGGGGTGGGAGCGGGAGCCAGCTTCTGGCACACATGGGCTCCCAGAGAGCCGGCTGCTGTTGCAGGTGCATATAACCATGTAACCGCTGAGTTTTTTAGCAGTTCCACAGTTACCTGCTTTTTTAACACCCCTAACTAGAGACTGTCTTGTGTGTAAGAGAGGTTTTGATCTGGTGCTTTTCAGAAGGAATTCCCATAGGAACTTACTGGGTTGGGAAAGGCATGTTGTAATAGAATTTTTTACATTGGAGGCCGAAATGCTGCTGTTGGATTAGATTCAGGTGATGATGTGAAAGTGTTGCCAGTTCTTTGTTTCTTCCGACCCTGTTTTAAGTAGGTATTGAATCTCATTTGGCAACCAAAATGCCATTTCTGATTCACTGTAGCTTAGTGTGTTAACAGTGCTCCAGGCTATAGGAAACTAGTTTTAGATCTTTCCCCCATGTATGCAGCTGCCCGTTTCCATGGTCTTTCTCTGCTCTTGCCTTGAATTGATGAGGCCGTTGTTCGCTTTGCTTATGGCAGGATCCTGGACATCTCTTTTAACTTGCTGCGACACATTGGAGGACTAGACCGGCTCACCCAGCTGAAAAAACTCTTCCTGGTCAACAACAAAATCAGCAAAATTGAGAACCTGAGCAACCTACAGCAGTTACAGATGTTGGAGCTGGGATCCAATCGAATCCGGGTAGGCAGGACTGCACTACTCATAGCAGAAACAAAATGAACAGCTGCTATATGTGGGGAAAGTAGACGGAGAAGCAGTGGTGGCTGGGTTGCCTCAGTTGTATCTAAGCAGCTGAGTTGGGGGGAGGGATAGCTCAGTGGTTTGATCACTGGCCTTCTAAACCCAGGGTTGTGAGTTCAGTCCTTGAGGGGCCAGTTAGGGATCTGGGGCAAAGCTGTCAGGGATGGTGCTTGGTCCTGCTGTGAGGGCAGGGACTGGACTCAATGACCTCTCAAGGTCACTTCTAGTTCTATGAGATAGGTTTTGCTCCATATATTATTATTATAATATTATCTGTGGAAGGGACGGAGAAGGAATGGACGTGCTGTTAGAGGAAAAGGGGAGTACCTGTAATATCTGCTATGCAAGATTTGGAGTGGGAGGGAATAGCTTAGTCTTCTCCAAATTCCCATCCTTGCTCTCTGTCCTTTGGATACTCCCCAGTCCTGTCTCCAGAGATGAGGTCAGAACCAGCCTGGAAAGGGAGCAGCTGCTTGTCTCTTCTGTCTTGTTCTGCGTACATCTTAGAGATGGAAAAGCTGTGTCCTAGTGGAACTTGTCTGAGACAATCCAACCGCGCCGCTTTCCTTTCATTGTGGCCTTCTCTGGGTGCGTGTTAGCTCTCATCGAGCGGATTTGACACAACCAAAATGGTCCATTATTTGTTACAGGAAAAGAAGGGAAGCATCTGAGGTGGGGAGAGTTCTTGATGATTTTTTAACCATAACTACTTGGAAACATGTTTCTCTGCATGGAACTAAGGTGCAGTTCTCTCCCTTTCCCTATGGTTGGCCTTTTCCTTAGGCAGAGCGTTAGAGTGGATAGGGCTTGGCTTGCGTGTTAGTGGATAGCTTTGCTTTCACAGCTAACAGAGAGCCCCTCTAATTCTCCCCGGCGGAGGGAAAGGTGACTGTGTGGGGAATAACACTGCAGCATTGGGGCTGCAGCCAGTTACGTGACTGAATCTTGGACTCTGCACACACTTTGCATTGGGATTTCCAGAGATGGCCTGGAGCGACAGGCAGGAATCCGGCCAGCTTAACTCATTGTATGGCTCTTAATCCCTGCCATGGTAGGTGGGTAAGACTAGCTTCTATCCCGCATCTAGGGATGTGTGGGGCAAGTTGAATTAGTCCCAGGTAGAGAAAGAAAGATGTCCTTATACTGACAAGGGAGCAGCCAGATCCTGTCTGCAGGAGGGATGTAAGTGACTAGTCAAGTAGCCAACTGCCGGATAAACCTAGGCTTATTGGATAGTTGAGACACTGCTCAACTAGTCGCTCCCTCCCCTTGCTGCAAGGGAAGGCGGACAAGCAGGAGCCAGTGCAGGGGGACCTGGCTTAAAAGCCAGTTCCCCCCAGCGCCATCTCGGTTTGCGGGTGAGGGGAGGTGGGCAGGGGAACCAGAGGCACAATGGGGAACCAGTGCGAACCAGAAATCAGCTGTCTCAGCTTGCCCCTCCTCGGTCCTCCACTGTGCCTCTGCTTTTAAATGTGGTGGAGCCGGGCGGCGGGGCCCCGGGGGGCTAACCTCCCTGCAGTTTAAATGTGGTGGAGCCGGGCGGCGGAGCCCCGGGGGGCTAACCTCCCTGCAGTTTAAATGTGGTGGAGCCGGGCGGCGGAGCCCCGGGGGGCTAACCTCCCTGCAGTTTAAATGTGGTGGAGCCGGGCGGCGGAGCCCCGGGGGGCTAACCTCCCTGCAGTTTAAATGTGGTGGAGCCGGGCGGCGGAGCCCCGGGGGGCTAACCTCCCTGCAGTTTAAATGTGGTGGAGCCGGGCGGCGGAGCCCCGGGGGGCTAACCTCCCTGCAGTTTAAATGTGGTGGAGCCGGGCGGCGGAGCCCCGGGGGGCTAACCTCCCTGCAGTTTAAATGTGGTGGAGCCGGGCGGCGGAGCCCCGGGGGGCTAACCTCCCTGCAGTTTAAATGTGGTGGAGCCGGGCGGCGGAGCCCCGGGGGGCTAACCTCCCTGCAGTTTAAATGTGGTGGAGCCGGGCGGCGGAGCCCCGGGGGGCTAACCTCCCTGCAGTTTAAATGTGGTGGAGCCGGGCGGCGGAGCCCCGGGGGGCTAACCTCCCTGCAGTTTAAATGTGGTGGAGCCGGGCGGCAGGGCCCCGGGGGGCTAACCTCCCTGCAGTTTAAATGTGGTGGAGCCGGGCGGCAGGGCCCCGGGGGGCTAACCTCCCTGCAGTTTAAATGTGGTGGAGCCGGGCGGCAGTGCTGCAGCCCCCTCCCTCCCCATCGACTAATAGATGGAAATTCCATTGTCTACTCAGTTAGCTGATTATTGGGTTTTAACACCTTTCGTCCACAGCAGACAGTCTCTTCTAACCACTCAAACACGGGCGGGAGGGAGCCATGTTCGTCTGTAC